TATATTTAACCTAATATATTTTTAAGCTCTAAGTATGAGTTAAAAAATAACTATATTTTAATTGTGACTTTAAATACATACATTTTCCAACAAACTTGATGAAGCCTTTTGTAAATTGTTATTAGAAGCTTTGTGCAGCAACAAACGGATTCTTAGGAGCCCCTAGTTCTTTAATTCTAACACGTTTTCCATTGTGACAAGCCGTCTCATGYCTGGTCTTAAAATCATTGTCGAATATACTTCCACAAGTTTCACATAACTTTTCTTCGTTTACCCATATTAAAACTTAGTCTTTAGACAATCGGAATGCCTTAAAAGTTCAAAGTTATTAGTGAAATATAAATTGAACATTTATTTTTACATACATTTATCTAGATACGTTTTTATTTTATCTCAGATAAACATTAGATAACTTAGATAATATTTATCTAGATAGTCTCAACACTGGTTATAACTATGTAAAATATTACAACTTTAAAATTTTCATAACTCACTTTAAAATGATAATATTAATAAAAGCATATGACACTTCTTAGATAATATTCTTACCTTTAAATTTATTGAGTGGTAAATTTACTTTAATATTAAAGCTAACATTATAAAAGTATAAAACGTGTTCTACTAAACGCAAATTTGCTATGATGTACGTTACTAAGCCAGAGACAACCAGGCGATTATAACGTTATCGTCGTTATCTTAAGTAATTACTACAAAGACTATATTATTTTTTTTTTGTAATAAAATTGATCTATATCCTAGACTGTTAGATTTTTTACTTAACTATTTTAATAATTTTTGATATTTTACCTACTTTATAGTAAAACGAAACACATAAATTGTGTACATGTAATGTACATAATATATAATAAACTATAATTAATTAATAACTTTGCGTAAATTTAGCTTAATAAATGAAAACGCTTACCTTTATTCAGTATTCACGTCGATTTCGTAGATAGCTAATGCCTAATAAATTGGTACACTCGATTAAGCGTTGCGAGTTTGTGACTAAATTCAGTGCACACCGCACAGTTGAAAGAGAAATAAAAGAAAA